GGCATTTATAAGTAACAATAAGACTCCGTGTGATTTATTTGGGAACTGTGTGGTGGGCCCCCCAAAGAGAAAAGAATAAAAAACAACAACAATGAAGGGTTAAAGTAAAAAAAAAAAAGTCCAACTTGGTGGATTAATACACTCTTATTGGGGTTTGTAACAGGAGTATGGTTGAAGGGTTACTTACAGGAACAGAGATGGCACAAAACCAGCTGCATCACCAAAAAGAGCACCCTAACATTAGTAGAGACTCCCAAAAGCTGCGTCCCTGTCGCTCTCTGCACAGCTTGCACTCAGCTCCAGGGGCTGAGAAATCTCTCTGCAGCCAGGCTGACCAGAGCCTCTCCTGATGAAATCCTTTTATAGACTGGGAGAGTGTTCAAGGATCTGTTTTCCAGTCATATGACCATTTGCTTTCCCCCCACAGGCTCATGAGTTTCCCCGGGGCCTGGAGGGAATGTTTAAACTTGGAGGAAGCTGCGATTCAATGGAGAGTCAATTTCTTTAAGTGTGGGACCCCCATAGGTCAACCACACTCCAGGGGATGGCCCCATACCCATGAATATATTAATAGCAGAAATTGAAACCAGTGGGCTATTAAAAAGACAAGAAAATGAGAAGGGGTGGGGTGTGGTACTGGGAAAGAGCTGAGCCACTTCCTGGGCAAGCATCGGGACAGGAGTTTGGATCCCTGGGCCCCACATAAGTGCTCCACGGGCATGTGGCCACCCACCTGTAATTATACCCTTAGAAAAGTTAGGGAGAAGTGGGGTGGATATGACAAAAATGCGTTAGATGCACGTATGAAATTTTCAAATAAAAATGTCCTAAAACTATTTTACAGATGCTTGTGTTTACGTACTCAGTGCAGAACTGAGGCTTCTCTTCACAAGGCCTCGCTGCTGACAGACAAACACAAAGAAACGGAACTCAATGACAGGAGACTGTGCCTGCTCCTTCGTCACGGACTGAAGCCTCTGCTTCCGGAGGGGCTGAAGCAGGCAGTCAGCACATTGTGGGCTTTCACATGACTGCATTTTCCTCGTGGGATCCTTGCATTTAGGAATGAGACTTTTCATTAGCATCCCAACCCCTTGCCTTCCAGAAGAGGAACCAGCGAGGTCATGAACTTCTCCAGCTGATATGGGGCAGAGCAATGGCAGTTAGGAACGCGGCTGAGGGGAAGTGGTCGGAGCCAGGGTCCTGGTGAAGGGTCGGAGCAGGGTTCGGCGGCAGGTGTCTGCAGCTGGGTCTTGAATTCCTCATCTTCTGGCTGCACCATTCCCCAGGTAGGACGCCCTGTGGGAACTTCAGCTTTTGACTTAATTCCTTCGGACTTGTGTTTTCTCACTCATGAAATCTTGTATAAATGGAAATAAGAACAAATCAGCTGAACAAAACATATTAAACTTCATAAACTCTATAGAAGCACACAGCACAGAGCACTAAGGTTCTAGACACGGGTGCTGATGAGGAAGAAGTTTTCTGCAAACTAGGCATGATGGCGCTCTGGAGGCAGAGGCAGGTGGATTTCTGTGAGTTCAAAACCAGACTGGTTTGTACATCAAGTTCTAGAACAGTCAGAGCTCCATAGTGAGACTGTGTCTTCAAAATAAAAAAAGCAAGTAAGTTTCTGCAGACACAGTCACATATCTGAACTTTTCTCAAGTTCAAGACAATTTCTCCCAGGGAAACAGAACCGAGGCAGGTGCAAGGCCACTTGAATCGGTACCAGGAGATTATGCAATGAACAGCACCATGATAACTATGCTTAGTCACAGTAGTTAATACTCACTGGTGACAAGTCAAGGAACACTGTCTACTTCAATCCAGCCTTGATTATAGCCACATGGGGAGACATTAAGTTCTATGAAATGCCATAGCAATCCACCCCAGAAAAAACAAGCAAACAAACCCGTTACCCGATCCAGACTGCACACATACATGCCTATGCTGAAGATCCTGGTGTCATTCATGAAGACATCCCTTTCCCAGGACCACTGATGGGAGCTGAAGGTATCTGAGCTCACACAGCTAGGCTTCTTTCCTTTGTCTATGTTTCCATTTGTGTGTGCACCTATGCATGTTTCCAAGTGTGCGGGCACACCTGTATATGTGTTATCATGCTTGCGGTGGCTGAAATTTTCATTGGTAACCATCCTTAACCCCACTTCACCCTAGTCATTGAGGCAGGGTTTCTTAGTCAAACCAGAGCTCACTGATATGGCTAATCTGGCTAGCTAGCTCGTCCTGGGGATCGCCTGTCTCCACTTTTCTAAGGGTTTAATTACAGGTGGGCGGGCACATGCTCGCATAGCATTAATGTGGGTTCCAGGGATCCAAACTCCTGTCCCAGTGCAGAAATCCTCATATGCAGAAGACCCTTTATGTGCAGAAGAAGCCCTTGTGTGCAGAAGACTCTTTATGTGCAGATGCAGGCCTTGTATGCAGGGGACCCCTTATATGCAGAGGCAGCATTCATGCTCAGAAGAGGACTGTATTGTGCTATATACAGGAGGAAGTCATATATGAAAGTCTGAAAATACAGTGTCGAGAAAGAACAGGACCTTGTTAGCTTTCATTTCATGCTCAGTTTGACTCTATTCGTTCCCTGGTTAAATATCCAACATCTCAAAAAGGTTAGGTAAGAGGCTGCCGGGGAAGATGTCTCAAAGGTCCAATTCCTTTCACAGCTCATCAGGCCTCTTATGAAACCTCATATTAAAGACTGGACCAAATCTGAGAAGACAGCCGTCCCGTGGAAGAGATCACAGTTTTGTTAAGCATGTGCGTCTAAGAACCAAACGAAACAAAATGAAAACCAGGGTCTAAAGGACAGACCTTTGTGTTTCTAAAGCCTTTAGGAAACAATTCGAAGGTTATACTTTAACACCAGCTGTTAGAAAATGTGGGAATTACGGAAGAGAGCGAGCGTACTGTCAGCTGGGATGTGGGAAAAGAGTAAATTTAAACTTCCTTAAACTTGATGAAAGATTTTCAAATGGGCAATGAGACAATAAATTAGGACAATGATACACAAAATACAGCAACAGACCAGAGTGGGGCATTGTGGTTAAAAAGAAAAAAGGCAAGCATGCATTTGGTTTTAACAAGCTTATCTTATTCAAGTCCTTTTATTTACCTTTGGAGGGAATGTGATATTGTGGATCGAGGCCTTGCTTTGCCTCACTTTGACATTGAGCTGGCACACAGCCTCTGAGATTCAGTTTCTTCATTGGCTAAACATAGCCAGGCCCCACCTGTTCACTCGGGCGATTGTAACCTATGGTAAATACTGCTCAGCAGCTGTTTAACACAGGCTTCAGTCTGTCTACCTCGCTTTTTCTGTATGTGGGCTCTCTTTTCCTCAGACTCTCTAGCAAGCATTGTTTTTTGTTTGTTTTGCCGAGACAAGGTTTTTCTGTGTCGCCTTGGCTGTTCGGGAACTCACTCTGTAGATCAGGCTGGCCTTGAACTCACTGAGATCTGCCTGTCTCTGCCTCCTAAATTCTGGAATTAAAGGCAAGTGCCACCGCCACCAGGCTTCTCTCAAGAATTTCTATCCCTAGCTCTTATGTATGTGATGGTGGAAATATTTATTTAATTGTACCGTGTTAAAAAAATTATTATTAGTTCATAAGTATGTGTAAGATTGTTCATGGTTTTGGTCTGTTGTTACATTGCCTGCTTTATATAGGTAAATGCGTCTGGGATGTTAAGCATAAGCGTAAGCTTGCTGTGTTAGAGACAATGACAAGCTGTCCCTTCTGTGTCGCTGTGATAAAATACCATGACCAAGGCAACCTATAGAAGGGAGAGTTTACTTGGCTTATGGTTCGAAGGCTGATGCCATCATGAGTGAGGAGGCACGGCAGCAGGCAGGCACGGTAGCAGGAGGAAGAATCAGAGAGACCACATCTTTAACTCCAAGCATGAAGCAGAGGGTGAATGAGAAGTTGGGGGGGGGGGGGACTATAAATATTCAAAACACACCCCTTGGGAACATCTGAAAGGAGTGCCATCACCTGCGGACCGAGTGTTCAAATATCCTATGGGGGACAGTTCTCATTCAAACCATTGCGTAGGGCCCAGAAAGATGACTCACTGGGATGACTCCTAGTACTTGATGTGTGAGCGTGGGAACCTAAGTTAAGATACCTGGACCCTCAGCGTGGGCATGTCTGTGAGCACAGCACCGGAAGACAAGAGGAGCCCGGACAGCTCCCTGAGTAGTCCAGCCCAAACAATAAGCATCTAGGATCAACCGGAGACACTGTGTCAAGAACACTAGATGGGGCACTCTAGAGGAGCACACCCAAAGCCAGCCTCTGGCTCGAGGCACAGGGATGGATACACTCATGCCCCCACACATTCGTGACCCCCTAAATAGAATGGTGAGATCCTTAGAAAGTCAACTCCACTCATGATTTTACCTATTGGCTTTACTCAGTATCCTACATACCAGTGATGTTCAAAGAACAAAAATCAATGCTTTATTCCTTTTTGGAGGGAAGAAGAAGCTGGAGACAAGGTCTCTCTATGTAGCCCTGGCTGTCCTGGAACTCACTCTGTGGACCAGGCTGGACTCGAACTCACAGAGGTCCACCTGAGTGCTGGGATTAAAGGCTTGCACCACCATGCCTGGATGATGTTTTATTCTTTTTTTTTTTTTTTTTATTTTCGAGACAGGGTTTCTCCGCAGCTTTTTGGTTCCTGTCCTGGAACTAGCTCCTGTAGACCAGGCTGGCCTCGAGCTCACAGAGATCCACCTGCCTCTGCCTCCGAGTGCTGGGATTAAAGGCATGCGCCACCACCGCCCGGCTAATGTTTTATTCTTAACAGTGTGAAAGTTACACACAAAGAGCTCCTGCTTCAATTCATGTGAATCTTATTTGTAGACCATCAAGAACTAAGAAACTCATTTGTTGTGATCATCCTAATGTTTCATTTCTAGAATAAATTGGTATGCCACCGACTTAAGGCCACTCATCATACTAAAATGTAGGTCTTTATTCACTGGAATTTAGTTGGAAACATACAGAGTGAACGATGTCAGGCTTTCAGGAAGTTATAACTACATATATAATGGACATTAAATCAACAAACAAAACAAATAGAATTTTCAGAAGCCGTCCCAGAATTTCATCTTCCAGGCTTTGGGGTGAAGTTGTAGACATTAATATCCAGTTTCTACCACTCATATTCAGATATTCTTGCTCCCTAGAAAATAAAAAAGAGGGCAATCAGCACCCTGCAGGAAGCATATTATATTCCTTATTTCTTTGGTGAAGACAAGCCTTCTAAGGAACGAACGCTCTCCTATTTGTAGCCAACCAGGGAAGTAAATATTTTTTCCCACTCATTTGGGTGAATTTATGCCATAGTCATTGGTTTGTTGCTTGTTATTTTGCTTTTTAGGATTTAGTTTTAAATTTATGCAAGTTTTGAGGTATATGCAGATGAGCACAGGGCCCTCAGAGGCCAGAAGGGGATTTGGATCCCCCATAGCTGGGGTTAGAGACAGTTGGGAACCATCTGCAATGCTGGGGACTGAACTGGGGTCCTCTGGAAAAGCAGTACGTCTCTCTAGCCCCTGGTCACGGGTTGTTTTTCTGCATGCCAAACTTGTCTTTTGCTCTACAAGGAATGGGTCAAGAGGCTTCCTGAATGATCATTCCCTATTTATGCTGTCTGACTTGCCACCCGGGATTCCCATGAGAGAAGCAGAGGAAGACATGGGGGAATGCAAGTCATAACAGCATCTTTCAAAACTGAATGGCGCAGGGTATTTCCAATTTCTGGAACTTTCCTCCGGGCCTCTCTTTTGTGTGTTTTGGCCACTGATCAAACATCCTGTCCTCCACATCTCTGAGCTATAGAAGCCTTTGCCTGTTTCATTTTTGTTATGAATAGTTGGAATCTTAAACAGAGTTTCGCCATGACTGGTTTCCCAAGCTGTAGCAACTTTTTAATCCTACATCTAGTGCGGGGCTAACACCATTCCTAACTTACTTTCCAGAAAATGAGCAGGCAAGTGAACCCTTTTTCCTAGCCTTAAACCGAGACTCTGTACACCCTCTCAAAGGACCACAAAGACCTGAACAGAGTAGCAAGGTTTGCCTGGTAGGTCCTTTCAATGGACAGTTTTCTTCACTCAAAGCTAAAAAAGGCAAGGTGAGAACTAAGAGAAACAGCTGAATGCTGAGCTCAGATCTCCTCCCACTTTGAGGAATCTTCCTCCATTTCTGCACCAACTGGCTCCATGCTGCAATCTCCCAGAAGGGAACATCTTACCAGAGTTACACAGCAGTCACGCGCAGAGTAAGCACCAAGTCTTTTCTGCACTCAGCCATTTCTTTTGCCTGTGTTTCAGCCAAAGAGGGGTTGGGGCAAGAGCCACATACAGGTTCAGGAGTATCCTTCCCTTCCTCCCATAGCTCGAGCCTCCAGCCTGGCTGTCCTCCGTCAGGGCTGCCTTGGGGAACCTTTCCATTCATCCCCAAATCAGGGAAGAATGAGAATAGATAGGTGCTGGAGAAATAGAGGGATGGTGGTGAGGCCATTTCTCACCTGAGATCCTCGGGCAGCGACAGGCAGCACGGCTCGACCGGTTTCCAACTCTCCTCTCCAGCTTTCGCAGGACCAAAATGCTGTGGGCACAGGTGTTCGCCTAGCAACCTCGGTCCCTGTGTCAAAGCACATGGAAGGCTTAATTGGACTCCACTGTGGTTCGGCAAACAGAGGTGCAGCAGCTTGCACAGGAAACTGCTGCAGGACTTGACAGGGAGAATCGCTGAAGATGGGAGACAAGGACATTATAATTTTATTTTAAGATAGAATTGGGTGGCTGAGAAACTGAAAACTGAAAAAGAAATACCAAGTCAAACTGAAGGATTTCCCTTGTAGGGGAAATATCCACCACACTTTCTAAAGAAACAATTACCTTGAAGTAATAGCTGAACAAATGCTTCAATATCCTCACGGCAAAGCTTAAACACATCTCCATGTAAGAGACCATAGCTCACAAGATGGCAGGACTGATTTTTAAATATTAAATTTTAAATATTTTACAAAGTAAGAAATGGGGCAGTGGATTTATAATAGCAAAGGGCTGTAAAATATGGTCGTTATGCCCTTCAACCATGTAATTATCCTTCCCGTACTTCGTGTCTTGAACATAAAGACATTGTGCTCAACAGTGCCCATCGCGGGCTTTCTTCTGCCCCAATCACCCCAGCTCTCTGATAGGCTATTTCTCTGTACAGATTCAGTGGCCACTTATCAAAAGTTATTGGGACCAATGAAGAGTCAAGTTCTTTTTCTTCAGAGTTTGAATTTTTTTTTTTAATATACATGATCTTTGTTGGGTACAGGCTCTGAGTCTAAATCCAAAGTTCATCCCTGTTTCAAGGTTTAGCACCTATAAACAGTGTTCTGAGCATACCCACCCTTTTATTGCAACCCAGCCTGTCAGAATCGGACTTGGAGTCTTCCAGTTGTGGGGTCTGAGAGACAGGAAGTTTAAAAGCTTGGGATGCAGGGGGTGGGGGTAGTATCTCCATCTCTATTCCATATCAGGCAAATAGGCCAAGGTCATGGGATATTCAGCCATGGATAGAACGTAATATATCCATTAAAATGATGGTTAATGCACATATGAAATCATAGAAACATCACTTAGAAGATGATGCTTAAATATTTTAGAGTGGCCACAATACCCCGTAGACTCCTATGCATCGTACTCTTTGAAAGAACCACATGGCTTCCTTCAGAAAAGCATGTATCCAAATGATCTTCGTAGTATCTTTACTGGAGACAATCCAAAAATGCCTAGGTGCCATGTCCAGGCACGGCTTCTAGGGCCTTCGACCTGACTGGGCAGTAAGGGAATGAAGAAAAGACAGATCGGGACACAAACAGACAAGCTGGGATCAAGTGGTCTGGGCTCTTGGCTGCAGAAGCCACAGCATTCCAGAAGCTCAGGGTATTTATATAGAGCTGAGAAGGGCGACGAGGTCATTACAGATGGATAGACAAGGAGGAAGGGTTACTGCACAGAGAGAGACAAGGAGGCAGGGTCGTGGTGAACAGCTGGATTAAGGCACAGGTTTAACAAATTACAATAGGGGCAGGCTCTGTAGGGGAGCAGTCTTCACGCCATAAATGTCCAGGGAGAGAAAGTTACACCAGACAGTCTCCGCAGAAACACCACCACCCCATTGCCCTCTGAGTCTCACTCTGGGGGAGCAGGCTTCGCTCTTTTCTCTGAGGCTCCCGGGTCCTTGACACAGCCATGCCCATGTTGACAGCACACATTCATTCAGGATGTCACTCACTCGGGAATCTCTGTCCCTACAACCAGGGAGGCAGGGATCAGTGGTGGCGTAGACATCAAGCGGAATGCAATATTGCAACGACAACTGAACCAGAGATAGACAAGGTTAGGATGAGCCTTATAAAGACAAAAACCAAACCTCACAAAGCAAGGGACGAAAGCAAAGACAGTGTTGGCACCTTCACATAAAGCAGGGAGCATGGGCCCCATGTCCGGTTGAGGAGTATATATATGTAATAGTGGTTTAAAGGTAAATATGAAGAAGGAAGTGGTTACTGAGCTAACATTCTCCTTATCATAACACTATACTTGACAAGGAAGCAACTTAAGGGAGTGGGGTTTATTAGATCTCATGGTTTGAGGGGATGATGAGGCAGAAACATGATGAGGCAGAAACATGAGCAACTAGCTGGTCACTCTGTAACTGCAGTCAAGAAGCAAAGAGAAAGTATACTGGCCCTCAACTCATTTTCTTCCTTTGAACTCAGTCTGTTGGATGTAGCGATCCCTATTCTGGGAGGGTCTTCTCTCTTCATATAGACCTCTTTGAAAACACCTTTAAAAATCTGCCCAGAGTGTGTCTCCAGGGTAGTTCCAAACGTACTAATGTTAACCATCACGATCACCCATCACAGGGCGGAGGTCACTAAGAAGGACAGGCCAGAGCTTCCAGCCGGGTCTAACTTCTTGTCAATACACTCACATCACTTTTAAACTATTTGTTATCCTGTGCATAGAGCATGCTGTGGGAAGATTGAAGCACAAATTCTAATTGGTCTTAATAAATAGAACCCAGGGTCAAATATTAGGAGGTAAAAGTTTAAGGATTAGAGAAGCAGTGCAGCTAGCCACTAGAAAGACCTTTTACCTCTACCAGTGTTCAGGCCGAAGGGACGATCCTGTCCTTAGACTGTCTCCTCAGACTGCATCTTCAGACTGCACTGAGCTCCTGTCTCCACCCACCTTATATTCCTTTCTCTGCCCAGCCATATCACTCCTGTCTCTACCTCCCCAGTGCTGGAGTTAAAGGCAAGGGATCCCAAGTGCTGGGATCACCTTTGTTTGAGCTCTGTTTTTCTTTTAGACAAATTCAGTCTCTTGCAGCCCAGGGTGACCTTGAACTCACAGAGCTTCCTCCGCCTCTACCTCCCTCTCCCGAGCCCTGGGATTAAAGGTGTGAGACACCACTTGCTGGCCTTTAGCTCTGCACTCAGATCTTCAGGCAAGCTTTATTTGTTAAAACACAAACAAAAGATCACTCTGGAAGAGCCTAAGTTTGAGGCTAGTTTATGCTACATAGTAGGCTCCAGGCCTGCCTGAGCTATATAGCTAGACCTAGTCTCAAAAAACAAAAAGAAAACAAAACAAAATCAACCCCTCCACACACAAAAGAAATAAGGAAACCTTGTGCATATGAGTATTGTGTGCCCTTCTGCATTTACAGTGGACTTCACAAAAGGCAAGGGAGAAATACACACACAGACAGTGGCCAGCATATCTACGCTTAGGTGGAAGGCCCATGGGTGATTCCCATCTCCCAAGCTGTTTCCATTTCTCAAGTCCATTGAGTCAGTAGGCTATTGTTCTTCCAACCTTAGGTAACCAGAAAAAGTTATTTTCCTCATAGCATTCTTCCCGCTCTGCTAAAAAGTAAAAAAGTAGCCCATATTGATCGGTTTTGCTAAACTATCACCACAAAACTATGAACAAAAAGGAACATTAGATTTGCCAGTGAAATGCTTGCTCCCATGAAAATATATCAGAGATAGACTCACCAAACAAACATGTTCCCATTTCATTCAAAACACCCATGACAAACAGGAACTTGGCCGTGTCCTGTTTGTCTCTTTCCCTTGATTCTAGATCTGAATCCCTAGTAGATACAAGTTTGTTTGTCCCTGTATCAACAGTGTCAGCATGAAAATACACAGCTTTTACCTTGAATTAAAACCTTGACTATCACAATCCTTTGATAGCAATTTTTTTCTACTTTGGAATATAAAGAGTATACCTGGGGAAAAGCTATTTAGTCGCATCAATTTTTAACTTGCTGACTTGTTTGAAATTTACGTGTAATTTTGCTGCATGCCTTATCAGCCTCTCGAGATCTTATTCTTATCTCAAATGTGTTTTAAAATCATGAGACAGGACCTTCGATTTCTGTTGTGATGCTCAAGGTTATTTGGGGTCAAGTTTATTTTACACTGAAGCACAAAAATAACCCGCCCCCAACATAAACCCTTCTGCTTGTCTTTTCCCCATTTTCAGAGGCCCAGGGGAGTTTTATAGCATTTTATAGACTACTATATTAAAAATAGAAGCAACAAGAGTCAGAGAAATGACTCAGTGGGTAAGAGCACTGACTGCTCTTCCAGAGGACCTGGGTTCAATTCCCAGCACCCACAGAGCAGCTCACAACAGTCTGTAACTCCAAGATCTAACACCCCCACACAGACATATGTGCAGGCAAAACACCAATGCACATAAAATAAGAATACATAGATTTTAAAAATATGTAGGAGATAATAGACGATGAAGTCTTATAAACTTTGAAGTTGTCCATTGGCTCCATCAAGACATTGGTGCAAATGATGTAATTCGTCACCATGTTCCATTTTTTATGGGGCAGATCAGCAAGGGGCATCCTCCAAAGACAGAATGAGATGGATGGGAATGAATGACGACAGCGCTCGGTTCCGAAAGATCAGTTTCTCCTTCCTGTTGCTCCCGGCTTGCAAGCCCTTGCCTCAACACCACAAATACCTTATTTTCATAGGGAAATAATATTGACTCCTGGGACCACAAGAAAACTATATTTTCTAACTGTTTAGTTCCCCTAGCAAAATAAGTAAGCCAACAAAAAACCTGACAGAGTTTCTGGTTCACACTTCTCTTCCAGTCATCCCTTCCCCCGTCCTCAGGTGTGGACTTCTTTTTCTCTTTTCTTTTTCTTTTGGTCAAGACAAAGAACAGTACATGCTTTGTGAGTCTCTTTTACTAAAAACACTTTTCCTTGAATTCAGTGAAGAGTCTTAAACACGTGAGTCACGCTTCAAAAAATATTTCCTTTTTGCGAGAGCTTTTTTTTTTTTTTTAAAGATTTATTTATTTAGTATACAATATTCTGTCTGTGTATGCCTGCAGGCCAGAAGAGGGCCCCAGACCTCATTACAGATGGTTGTGAGCCACCATGTGGTTGCTGGGAATTGAACTCAGGACCTTTGG